ACCAGTAGATGGGGTGGAGGGGCGGGTAGAGGTGGACAGAGCGTGTAGAAATACTTGCAGGGGAGGCAGTCATGTGGGCGTTGATGTGGGCATGTGGGTATTGATGGGGGCATGTGGGTATGTGGGCGTTGATGTGGGTATGTGGGCGTTGATGTGGGTATGTGGGCGTTGATGTGGGTATGTGGGCGTTGATGTGGGTATGTGGGCGTTGATGTGGGTATGTGGGCGTTGATATGGGTATGTGGGCGTTGATGGGGGCATGGGGTGAGCCTTACAAGTAATCAAGGCAGAAGATCAGAATAATCACAAGCCCCCACACACGCTGGGGGAATCATATGTGTGCGCTGATTCTGTTGGCCTTACGCAACACCGCGGCCGGCCATGAATAGTATCAATTGATTACGTGCCTCTCGGGACGTACACCAGTCCCTCCCAACAATACATAGGCTTACACACATCATGCATGCGCGTGCATCGCAGCGCACGTATTCCAGCGCATACGATAATGAGGCTTTGTCGAAATCAAAGTCATGAGGCTTTGACTAGTAAATACTAATTGTGAATTTTCGATAGAGACTGTATTCGATGGCAATGGTGCAAGAGAGGTAATTCCCATACTGTCCTGTATCTTTATGTTATGGCATGTGATAAGATAGTTGATTATTGAGATAATGACACCCTTATGATGCCTCAAAACATGTGTCTTGCCTCTCATACAATCACTTGTTGAAGATACATACATACTTTAGTTGATTGACAGTTGAGAGGCGGAACCAAAGAGCCAGAGCTCAACCCCCGCAAGCACAATTAGGTATGTACGTGTTTCTTAAATAACACAGTTATTCCACTTTAATCATATTAACTGGAATATGCCAATTTTGCATAGAAATATTTTAAAATAATTAATATCACTGTGCTACTTGGCCTAGTATACATGACCCAACTTGCCTAACAAGCCGAATGATTTTCGATATTTTCAGATATTTCTTTCCAAATTAATTAATTCCAATCACATTATTATATTACAATCATGAATTGCTAACCTGGTTAGGTAAGTTGGGTTTGATCAAATTTATATGATAGTATACAAATAATATATATATATATATATATATATATATATATATATATATATATATATATATATATATATATATATATATATATATGTACATTATAGATAATGTAATTTCCATTACATTATATCATATATTATGTAATGGAAAACTGTATCATTCCATATAAATAAATAAAGAAAAATATAATATTTAGGAAAAATTTGGCTTGTTTGGCAACTTGGGCTATTAGGTACATTTTGTATATAAACTTGAAGCTTTTTTATCCGTAAATACTTTTCATGAACAGAGTTCTGTTATACACTTTTAAATATTTAGATTCAAAATAAATGTTGAAATGCCTATGGCTGTCACTGAAAATTTTGCACAAAAGTTCAGTAAATAATTAACAGCAGCTGCTGTATCAGGGGAGACTACGTACTCGCCTAGTTGTGTTTGCGGGGGTTGAGCTCTGGCTCTTTGGTCCCGCCTCTCAACTGTCAATCAACTGGTGTACAGATTCCTGCGCCAATTGGGCTCTATCATATCTACATTTGAAACTGTGTATGGAGTCTGCCTCCACCACAACATTAAATTTCACAAAAGCACTGTAGCACAAAATTTCAGCAATACAGCATGCAAGACGCCATCTTTAAAAAAAAATTAAATACTGTACGTGTATATTGAATTGTGTGTGCTGCTTGGAGAACAGAGAGCAGCTCATCCTCTCAACCATTCACATCGGTAAACAAATGTGCTAAATTGTCCAAACTTAACCTAACCGAAGACCCACGAATAGAAAACGGAACACCACGACAATTTTGCCAGCCGCTATGAGTTAGTACCTCAGTTTCTGACCTTAGTGGATTTATAGGTTAAAGGGCGATGTAGTAAGAGGACGGCTTGCAGAGGCATTACGTGAGCAACGGGGACAGCCGGACCTACACACAGGATATATATATACGCTACGGGGCAAGGATGAGACACACGGGAGACATCTCCCGTCACGCAGGGTGCAGTCGCACCTCCACAGATCTCCAGTATCATCTGTTGATACTGGTAATGGCTCAAAAGGGCCACCACTTACGGGCTATTCATGCCCGTGCCACCTTTTGGGTGGCTTAATCTTCATCAATCATCAATCAGGATGAGACATCCACCGCTCCTGTGCCAGTTAAGTCCACTACGGGCTCACCATAGCCCGTGCTATTTGGAACTTGTTCCGAGTAGCTGAATCTATAACAACAAGGATGAGAATTACGGGCTATTCATGCCCGTGCCACCTCTTGGGTGGCTTAATCTTCACCAATCAGGATGAGAAGCACCAGCTGGTAGATGTAACTATATCAATACACCTGCCTAGATTTATGAAGGCTGTGAGTGTCCACCTGCGAACCCTGTCTACCTTTTTCTCAAGTATGGCGACTTAGTGTGTACTTAAAACACTAAGTATTGTGTGTGCCAAACATTGCCAGGTTGTTCCCGACATGGGTATATTATTGTTATACGCACCCTTGTAAACTATTTCATAAATGCAAACTGAGAACAAATGTACAGGTTTCGGAAGTGCATACATCAGTGTTTGGGTAATGGTGGTGGTGTTAGCACACGGCGGGTTGCTGTGGTGGATGACTGCTGGAGTGATTGATTGATTGATGAAGATTAAGCCACCCAAAAGGTGGCACGGGCATGAATAGCCCGTAAGTGGTGGCCCTTTTGAGCCATTACCAGTATCAAGAGCTGATACTGGAGATCTGTGGAGGTGTGACTGCACCCTGCGTGACGGGAGATGTCCCCCGTGTGGTGGAGTGTGGTGGAAGGTGTTTATATACACAGCCAATGATGTAACCAACAGTAAGGTCTGACGATTTAAGTGTGAGCTCAGCACACAGTATATCTTACGGGCTATTCATGCCCTCTTGGGTGGCTTAATCTTTATCAATCAATCACAGTATATGTTTTCACGACCCGAGATCACATTCTCTCCAAACAAATCTTCCACTTACGGGTTATTTATGCCCGTGCTACCTCTTGGAGTGGCTTAATCTTCATCAATCAATCTGTAACCGATTGATGAAGTGATATTTATAACCAACGTTTACACTGACCTTTTATAAAAGGTGATACCACCTCGCCCCATGAAAGTGGGAACGGTGTAATGTGATAAACGAGTTAATAAAAGCTACCACAAAGATTATTATAAATAATGTATCATCGTAAAGATGCACAACAAACAATAATAATAATAATAATAATAATAATAATAATAATTTATTTATATAAAAGTACGGTGAAACAGATACATTTGATATCACTCATCTTATGCGCTTTTGTTCTGGAACTGTCCTTCTGAGTGATATATAGCGCCTTCTGAATATCCTTCAACTGTGATGGTGCTACAAAGTCTTCTTTGCGCATTTGTTTGATAATTACTTGCTTATATAAAAGTATATACATTCCTTAGGCCTCTAAAGTACATAAATGAATATTATTCCCCTCAAACTTTTTTTTTGACCTTTGCCTTAGACAGTTTAGGGGGAAGAGAGTTCTTGAAGGCACCTGAAGGCACCTTCACCTACGAAACAATGTGTCATAGCTCTAGATAATGAGTCGGCAGACATCAAGTGCCTCCAAGACGTCTTCCTCTGAGCTGTCTGAGGCACAGGTCAAAGAAAAGTTTGAGGAGAATAACAACTTTTTCTATACTTTGGAGTCATAGGAAATTGCGAAATAACACTTGTTTCCCCCCCCCCCAGGCGCACATAACGTTACATAGTGTAATTATCTACAAAATATATTTGTTCCAAACACTACAAGTAGCTCACAAGACAAAATGTATACAGTATACATATTACTCGCTCGTAATAACAAGTCAACATTATGTAACTAATTTCTAATCACGTGAATGGATTACAATAATATAAACCTCCAGCTGTATTAATATTGCAAGCCCTTCACATGTGGTGTCTCCTCTTGTTGCTTCAGTCTTGAACAATAATACAATCTTACACACTGTGCCTGTAAGTCCTTATGGTACCATACACCTGTGCTGCCTCTCCCCCGGGTCCACCCCGCGTGTAATACTGCCCGTGGAACCTTCAACCTGTTACACAAGGTTCATGACCACACACCACTGTATACTGCATTTATTATTACACTTAACATTTTCAAAGTTTTATAAAAAAAACTTTTTTGCACACATACATTATATATATATATATATATATATATATATATATATATATATTATATATATATATATACACACACACACACAACAGTTGTTACATTCTT